TTCCGCTTAATTAATTTTGGTATCCATGACAGATACGTATTTCGACTACAATGTGTTGAATCGGAACCTACCTAACTAATTAAAACCAAAGATTTAAGTAAACTAAAGGAGAAAAATCTATTCAACTCTCTAATAAGGAAAATACCAAAGGCTAGGTAGCCATCATAATGAGGTAATGAAATTGGGTTGTTAGCGGAATGCTTAAATAAAACAGCAAAAAAAAGGTTATCTGTAGTAGTCGAAATACGTATATACTATATACGTATTTCGACTACTACAGATAACCTTTTTTTAAGAAACTTTCCTGTTCGGTGTCTGCCAACTAGGGTTTTTGATCTAATTTCCGTCCTACTAAGGACATTCCGCACTTTACCACGCTTTTTGGAAAGGGTTTGAACAAAACTTGGAATGTTTTCATCAAAGATAACTTCTAAATTTATCCACCTTTCCATACGTACCGTTGGATTTGATAAAGAGTCAAACAATGTTGAGATATTATTAAAAATGTAACACTGCTTCTTGCTTCTAAATTCGTCCTACGCGTTTCAATTCCGTCCAAACGCATTGAAACGCCATTAGATTTTCTTCGTCCTACGGATAAACGGAGAAAAAGGGGATGCGCTAGGAGCGCTTCTTTTGTTTTGAGAACAATGAGCGTAATTATGCATAAATGCGCTCTAATAGGATTTATGTTGTAGCTAATGAACTAACGCATCGGAACAAACGTATTATTGTTTGTGCATTGTGAAATCATTGATATTATTGATGATTTCTGCTCAATAGAACGGAAATGGGCGATTACGACGAAGTAGCGCTCTTCCCTATCAATTTAACTTCTCTTATTGTTTTCGTTGTTTACAACCCCTGTCCGCTTTATCCTTTCATCGCGCGGCAATCCCTCGTATGCCGATGGGTGTGGTTGCACTCACTCGTCAGTGGTGGGTGTACGTGACACACATTTGAAGCGGGCGTAACCAACACGCAGGCTCGGTTGAAGGCGGAATGAACTACTTGATATTTTCGACATGATTGGCTGGTTTATCAATAGATTATCACTCTAGCTGTGCCGGAACCATTTGTAAACCTACGATCTACGAAACAGCTGCACAGTGGTTCCAAGGGTATCAAAACACGCGCTTTTTTATTTACGCTGAAATGGTTGATTAAAGCTACTAGATGTCTTCTGAGAAGTTTCTCGGGTTACAACACTCCTTCTTATGGTAACAGAAAATTAAAGATTAATCCACCTAAAAGTGAGATGCAAAATTTATTTTTTCAATAAAATAAGATACAAAATAATTTTGCTAGGCAAAGCTGTAGGGAACATTACTGTGAACAACTTTGCTGAAGACTATAACTTTCTAGCTCTTATAACTGCTGAGATATAAAGGTTTTTTGTGGAGACATCGTTAAAATCAGTTTTGTATCTGTAACTTTTTCTACAATATTTCTACATGTCTGGCATGTTGTACAAATATGTTAGAAATATCAAATCACATATCTTTTAAGAAGACTGCAAATTGCTACCATCAATATTTGAAAAGTTATTTACATTTTTTGGTTGAAAATTACCCAACTTCCAATAACAATAGCTTCTAAACAGGCAACTAGTTAGTCACTAGAAATAACCCAGGTTGCTTGGTTATCCATTTGTATGCCTCTTTTCACACCCACTCGATAGCAGTCCCGTTGTTTCACAAAATCGGCATTTCAAATTCTGAAAAGTGACAAGTTTTAATGCAAGTATTTTGGTTAAGGGTCAAGTGGGGGCGGTCTGGTTTCTTCACCATTTTATTGCATTTTCTTGTACTTTCAATTGCTCAATGAATGGCCTGCTTGTTTTTGCCCGTTTAGAAGCTGTTGTTATTGGAAGTTGGGTAATTTTCAACCAATAAATGTAAATAACTTTTCAATTATTGATGGTAGCAATTTGCAGTCTTCTGAAAAGTTATGTAATTTGATATTTCTAACATCTTTATAGAACATGCCAGACATGTAGAAATAGTTACAGATACAAAACTGATTTTAACGATGTCTCCACAAAAAAACCTTGATATATCAGATGTTATAAGAGCTAGAAAGTTATAGTCTTCAGCAAAGTTGTTCACAGTAATGTTTCCTACAGCTTTGCGCAGCACAATTATTTTGTGTCTTATTATGTTAAAAAAATAAATTTTGCATCTCAATTTTAGGTGAATTAATCTTTAATTTTCTTTTACCATAAGAAGGAGTGTTGTAACCCAAGAAACTTCTCAGAAGACACCTAGCACCTTTAATCAACCATTTCAGCGTAAATAAAAAAGCGCGTGTTTTGATACCCTTGGCACCACTGTGAGCTGTGAAGAGGGGTGTCACCATGTAATAAAGTAGTGTAGACGTCCTTAAGTTGATCGGAGGATCCTGTACCATTGTGCAGGCAGTCAGTTTTCAGTTACTTTTCAATTAAAATATCCAAGAGAGTTTAGGAAAGACCTCTAAGAAAATTTTGAATAGAACTTTTACTGTGTTACCTGACCTATAACGAACGAATGTACGTTGTATACGAGTACCCCGAATACAACGTATGACTCGTCTAATTTTGCATAGCATTTGCAATGTAAAATTAGACGAACTATACGTTGTAATCGGACACTCGTTTACAACGAATATTCGTAATAAGTCAGGTAACACAGTAGTCAATTGTTCAATAGAGAGTACAATTCCAAAAGATTCATGAGAAGAGGCTTAATGTAATTCCGAGGATAATTCCATAGACATTTCGAGAAAAAATATTGCTAGTTAACTGTGATGGAAGTTTTCAAATGCATTTTCAGAAGAATTTAGGGGAGAACTCCAAGAGAAAATAAACATTTTAAATCAATTCTCAGGAGAATTGCATGGGAATTCTAAAGAGAATTCAAGCTTATTTATAATATAGTTTTGGAGGGAAGCTTCAGTTAATTCATAACAAAACTATAAAATTCTAGGGAACTCTAGGAGGAATTTTATGATTTTTTATTTTGAGCGCTATGCAGAAAATTTCCGGACTGTGTAGAGAAATTTCCAAAGGTATCGCTGAGAAAATCTAGAATTTATTTTAGAATTATTCTGAAAAGAACTCTGTGAAAGGAAATTACTGTTAAGAGAATGCTTGAGAACAGTTGCATAAAATCCTATAAATAGTTCTGAGCGAATTTTTAAGGTACCGTGGGGTGTCGTTTTGCCAAAAAATTAGAATTTTTCGTTCCCTACCTTACAACATTCAAATTTTAGCAAGGAAAACATTTTTTATTCTTTTTTTTTTTGTTTGTTTTCCGTCGATCTTGTTTTCCGTACTGAGTACCAATGCTACCGACGCCAGGAAGGCAGCTCCCATACCAGGACCCTACCTATCGACCCATCAACTCATGGACCGGGGACTAACGGATTTACTTTCCTTCCGAAGGATGGCGTGATCAGAGTTTTATGCCTCAGAAAATCCCAGCGGCGCTGACTGGGATTGAAACCAGGCTCTTCGGGGTGAGAGGCAATCACGCTTACCACTACACTACCGGTGCCGCTCTGAAAAAATTTTTAAGCATGTGAATATATTGATCAATGAAATATTTACATAACAAAACATAAATTTGATTAAAATATGTAAATGTAACGTTGCTTTTAAGAGTACATTTGATGATGATCACAATGTCCTTTGTATATATGGCTAAATATCGCGTGTAATCCTCGTGCATCCACATAAAAGCGTGTTAAAATGTTTGTTTGCCTGTGGAAATTTTTAAAACCACTACTATTTATAACACTTAACTTAACTTAACGCCGGGATGTTTTGAGGCATAAAATCTCTGATCACGCCTTCCTTCGGAAGGGAAGTAAAGCCGTTGGTCCCCGGTCCATGAGTTGATGGGTCGATAGGTAGGGTCCAGGTGTGGGAGCTGCCTCCCTGGCGTTGGTAGCATTGGTGCTCAGCACGGAAAACAAGATCGACGGAAAACAAATCAAGGGAAAAAAAAACACTTAACTTTACAGCACTATTTAAATAAAACAACTGGTTTATGTTATTTTCTGGAGTTCTATAAACATAGTCTGGTCATAATTTTCTGTATGTCAAAGGAAGAACAAAATTCAAGGTATATGCTTCTGTCTTAATAATGACTCATTTATCCTAGTAATCCCTTAGAGTTTCGGTTTTATGCTTAATTGAAATGCATATCGCACAACCGGGATATTTTCCAAAATATTTGGGATTAACTGGTCACCCTAAGTTTTTGTAAAACAATGTTTTTGCAATTTATTTAATTTTCTCACGATCGATACCAAAACTAATCAGCTGAAACAAGAACTCAAGTGAAAATTCTAGCCCTAATTTCAGAAAATAATCGATTCGTAATGACAATGGAATTTTCTTTTTGAAGTATGTTTAAGTACTGAAATCCATAGAACATATTTTTTTAACATAACTTCACAGAATGATTATGTATCCGATGCGTTCCAAAGTTCTTGTAACTGATAGATAAATAGTGCATTTTTCCAACCACAACATTTGTGAAACAATTCGATTTGTTTTAGCCCAGCTCTAACAATTTACACCACCAAAACGAGGGCTTTGAAATTAGAGGGTTAAAATTCACTTTTTTTCTATGTTGGTATGAGGATTGTTTTTTAACGATTGCAATCATCGAAAATATAAAAAAGGAGCTAAAGCTTCTGCCTCTAGTGTCACTTTCCTGTCAGTGAATGGTTTGCACTTTTGAACCAACTCGTTTTTTTCTCCATAACACCCAAAACATTTCAATTATATAGGTCATATTTAAATGACCTAAGAAGAAGTCGTGTGGTATAACTTGTACATTACTGAGGTGCTTGTACTGATCAGTAACTATCTGTCGAAAATTCCTTACAATGATCGTACGTCAATTAAAACCAATACATGAATGGATATTCAATGGAAAACTGGGATATTTGTGTTGCAGGGAATGTTTTTTCTTTTCTTTTGTTTCGAAATACTACAACAAGACAATATATTCTTTTATAGAAATTGCATTTATTTGACCGTAATTTTCCATGACGGTCCCTAATCGCAGTTTGTTTAAGTCACACAGTCAAAGATTGAGATGCTTTTGGTAGCATCTCAACTCAGTACATTCACGATTAATATTATGTCTATCTTTTGTACACGCATTCAGTTGAGCTTGGAATAACTAGATAACTCTCCTTTTGTAGATTTGAAGGACAAGTAATAGCATGAGAGAAGTGAGACATAGATAACAATGAAATAGTTAAGAATAAATAAACAGTGTTCAAACTATTGACTTCAAGGAAGCGAAAGAGAAGAAGTGTTTAGGCTGGGCTTCGAACTTTAACCAATAAGGGCTTTTCCGTAGGCTGGGTATCCAACATGGGCAGCTGGGTAACCGGCGATATGGGCAGCTGGATAGGCCAGAGGGGCGGCATACTTGGCAACTGGGGCAATAGCCTTGACGGCAAGTGGCTGACGGTGGACAACGGCGTTGAATCCATTGACTGGATCAGCAGTGTATTCAACAACACGACGGGTGCCATCAGGTTCAACCAGAGAGTAGGATCCAGTGACGACATCTCCGGAGCGAGATTCCTGCTGTTCCTTATTGTCTCCAGTCACAGCATCCTGAAATATGAACAGTCGATAAGTTCTGATATTTTCTACTATTACTGTAAATTTATCTTTACGGCAATGTGGTAGCTGAAGCTGTACTGTGGGTTTGGATCATAATCATCAACAGCCTTGGCAACAGCTGGGTAGGCATATGGAGAGGCGACCTTGGCAACACCAACGGCTGGGTAGGCGCCTGGGTAGGCACCTGGGTATCCAATGGCGACGGCGTTAGCGACGGCCACGATGGCAGCGAAGACTGCGAACTGAAATAATTGATGTTTTAATAATTGTTCTCGGTGCACTTAATCCTACACTTTTTCAATCACATATTGGAAAACTAACTTTAAATGCCATTTTTGTATTCCGTGTGTGGTGTTTGTCACAACGTTGTACTGATTATGATGCTTATTCAGACGAGCTGCCCTTTTTATACTGAAAACTATTCTTAGCCGCCGAGGTTCAGAGTGAACGATCAGGTCTCGCCCAGTTTTGCAGAATTTTCCGATCGCAGTCGATGCAAGAGCGAGAAATAAAATTTATCATTCTTTTCAAATTGCATACACACGCACCCGGAGCGCACTGCAGCTGCTGAAATTTAGCGAAAGTCTCAGAACTGCGTTGAGCTTTGAGAGCATGCCCAACGATTTGCGTTTGAGTGGTGGCCAATCTGTAAAGCTTCGACATATGTACAACCAGTTTACTATGCTTTTCTGAACCATATACTCTGCATGTTCCGCATAAAGTTTTTTATTTACAATATAGTAAAAACCCGTTAAATCTGAGGCTTATGATATGGGGTACAATTTTGTTTCATTATCGTTCAGCATTGGGTTCGTTCGTCTCTTGAACGGAAATATTTTTATTGTGCGAAATGAGCATGGATCAATTTTTTAACTTGGAAAGTGTGACAATAATGGCATATGCACCAGTCATGGCAAAATCGCAATGGAATTAATTTTTTATTATTCCCATTATCTGCTTGCGAAGTTTGAATTTAAAATACGCGATAGCATTTTTCCTCCTACCATCTTCAACGAAAACAAATGTGTTCAAAAATGAGAAGAAATTCATATGAAGATATAGAATCTACATTTGAAAAAATAAAATAATTAACTACTGACATCCGCCCCAACTGTTCACCGGGGTAGCATTGATTGGTTGGTGATAGACATCAAAAAAAATCTTGAGCATTCTTGAGTAGCTTTGACTAGTTTCCCTTAGCAAAAAAGAAGATTTTCTTCATACTTTTCAATATTATTTAATTGACGTTCAATAGCATTCAAAATCAGTTTTCAAACATACGAATCATAGAATTATAAAGTTGGAACAATTGTTGTTCTTATCTTGAAGTAACATTTTTCAGTAAACTTAATGTCAATCAATCTATTTTTTTAAATTTTGGTAAAATGTTTCCAATGCTAGAAATTAATGAGAAATTGAGTGAAATTACCAGTGATGTAAAAAAAAATGCGTACATATAGGAGCAATTGTATGAATAATATATATTATAGGAAGATTTTATAACAATGATTTAAGGAACCCAAATTTAATAGTCACTCGAAAGCCATTCGAGAGGTTTGAAAATTTCTCCCAATATCTATATTTTCCTATTTGAGTTTTGAGAATTGTCCAAAAACTAAACAAAACACTCAATATAATAAGTAATCATACAGAAGGATTGCATAATCAAAACCTCTTGAATTTAATATCATAAGTTTATTAGTTTTCTTTAATGTAAGAATAGATTTACATATTTACGTTTTATGTGATTTGTTGAATGCATATTGAAATGCTACATGAAACAATACAAATCAGTAAAAAGTATTGTAACCAACCATGGAGCATTTAGCTTCAATGTAGGCGTCCATGCTTTAATCTTCGTAAGAACATTTCTTTCGTTCAGCAAAAATAAAACATCAGCCATTCATCAGTTATCGAGGTCTTCAATGATCTTAATTTGTAATTAATCAAAACTAATTTTCCGAAAAATCTTTTACATCAACTCAACAATTGGTGATCAACAAGTTCAGATATATTGGCCGATCGACGTATAAAATTAAATCCGACGTTCAGAACTAAACGTAAAATGAAAATTATTTGCATTAGCATATGATAATTTAAAAAATACAAAAAATATTAGCTCAGCGTCCACGGCTGAGCCACCCCACTAGCCACGTGGGGGCGGGAAAGTTGCCCTCATGTTCTCCCTCAAATGCGGTCCTGGTAAGAACATTAGATTTTGTAAATAAAATTTATAATTTTTACGGTTTTTCTTCAACTTACAACTCCCTGAAATAAGCGGCGCCGGTGGTGCAGGGGTAAGCGTGATTGCCTCTCACCCTGGGTTCAATCCAAGTCGGCGCCGCCGGGATTTTCTGAGGCATAAAATCTCTGATCACGCTATCCTTCAAAAGGGAAGTAAAGCCGTTGGTCTCCGGTCCATGAGTTGATGGGTTGATAGGTAGGGTCCAGGTGTGGGAGTAGCCTCCCTGGCGTTGGTAGCATTGTTATTCAGTACGGAAAACAAATAATAAAAAAATCCCAGGTTATTTTAAACTGAGGGAAAATTTTCAGAAATATGAAAATCTTACCAGGGGCTCTCCACATACCACCTGGACAGTTTTTGATATATATTAGACTCATACTCACCTCGCGTGGACAATCATCCATACACATTTTGCCCCTAACCTGTCCACGTGGTATGTGGACAGCCCCTTAGGATATTATAAGACGGTTTACTATCGCATAATGAGGTTACCCAAGTGACATTTTATTTTTTATAAAGAACTGCAAGAGTACGATAAAACAACATTCCTAAACCCTGCACAGATAAAAATTCTGAATTTTAATAGTGATGTAAAGATTCATTCACGTAAACTTGTATTTCATTTCACGCAACCGACTTGTAAACAATGTTGTTTACAACAATGGGCTTTTGTATACAATATTAGCTACATTGCTTGAAATGTCTCAGAACTTTACATGATAGATAATTAGGCCTATTCTGCGCGGCGTGTGAGGTGAGGTTACAGTGAAGCGATGGTGAAGTGACAATTGTCACCTCGGGTGAGGTGACTCTCCATGCAAATCAAATGGAGAGTCACCTCACCCGAGGTGACAATTGTCACTTCACTAGTGACAGTGAGTCACCTCACCTCACACGCCGCGCAGAATAGGCCTAAATGTAAACTTATATGATATGTAACGCTCCATTTATGTGCATCATACTGAACAGAAATTTACACTACTTTTTCGAACTGTGTGGTCAAGGTTGCTTTGTTTTTATTGCATCCACCAAAACCTCAGTTAGACTAGAATCTGTCTGGTTGGCCCACCAGTTGCTGCAAAAAGGTTACATAACGAACGCATTGAGAACCATTTGACCATGTGTAAAGTTCAGTAAAAGCAATTTGCCATCTACATAAACTTTTTTCGTGCCATATTCCATAGCCATTTAGCGAATTATAAATGTGCCAATTAGTTGGCCATTTTCCACCAGCCCGTCAATTTCCGGAAAGCGCTTCCAATAATTTGATATTACATACACGCAAAATTCAGCATATTTGTAGTTCTGTGTCAAAATTTCTGCTTAATTCAAGAGCCACATGTGAAAAGGGCATACAAGATTTTTGTAAACAAACCTTTGTAGGTACATTTCTCGCCAACCGAGGGTCGCCCACGCAAACCAGCAATATCATCGGGAAGGGGAAAGTGTCCCCTACCCGGTGATGTTAAAGGTTTGCGTTGGTGTCATATGGGTGACGAGAAAAGGGCATAAGAAAGTTTGTTTACAAAAAGCTTGTATGCCCTTTTCACATGTTGTTCTGGAATTGATCATAACAAAACATAGTTGCAACATGCCAAAGTTGACTAGTTTGTATGAAAATCGGCCTATTGTGTAAATTTAAAGGCCACCAATGTATCTCAGCCTAGATATTGAGAATTTCGCACCAAAGTAGATTCCTGCGCTAAAAATAATCCCTCAGAATTATTTTCACTCAGGCCAGTTTAAATACAATTTTACTATTTTGAATGTAATAAACCACTCCATGTTAAAACTGAATATCATATCAACATACTAGTGTAGCGATGATAGAACTACGAAAACACATTATTTTACTTTAACTAATCATGTTTTTATTACTTCATGCGTGAAATTAACGATTTACATAGTTGGAGATACTTAACGTCAAATATCAGATTTAAAGTGGACATTTTATAGGAAATGAAAGAATAAAGTTGGTAGTTCCGTTATAGTACAGTGTGAACACTGTATATAGAAAGTAGAAAGCGAACTAAGGACATTTTTAAGAAAGAATCGGGGCGAGCATCCCCTTTACCAAACTCATCCGTTGATGAGGGATAGTGAAAGATATCCCCCGCTACTGATAAATAGAACTGTTTCCGCACATCGGAGGAACATGTGCAAATCGACAATCATTCCTTTTGCCAGTGGTGGTGGGGGGACAGGGGTACCTGATACTGAGGACTCTAGAGTCAATACGTAAGTAATATGTTTAACGGAAATTATTGCATTTGCACCTTTTTTTTTGCTTTGTGACCGAACATCTTTTTTTTTAATCTCAAACAATTTAGTTCATGAAATATGATACTTTGAATGAGTATATAATCAGAAACAACATTAGCAATAATTCGACAACATTGAATTTGTGAAGGCTATATCGAAAAAAAAAAACATTTAATAAGTGATTGTTGGAGTGCCTGATTGAAAGGCGAAACACAAGAAGATTGTTTTTTAAGCTACAAAATGTAACCAATTCGGAAATAGTGCAGAGAGATAATTTAATTATTATATTCTACTACCAAAGTTATCCGCATTATCAAAGATACCCCGTTTTACGGTACCGAATTTGTTTTTGATTAAGTGCCAACCTAGATCGGGTTTCAAGAATATCAAGATTGGGTCAGCTTGTTGTCTGATAAACGGTAGCTTGATTGTTTGTTTATGTCATCTATCTCAGGTCGAGGTTTGCACTGATCAAAAGTTCGGTTTTACACTGGATTGGATTTGTTCCAACCCGGATAGTAAAATAGTATGTCATCTAGTCAAGATTTTTTTAGCATTTGGATTAATATTAAAATAGGCGTAGCAAATTTTTTTATTTTGCTTTTAGCGTGTAGTTCAGTGTGCTGGGAGAAATTTTCCTTGTTGGTTTATATTTGTTATGCCACCAAAGATTATTATAAAAACCTTGATTAACGGTATCTTTTCTAAAACCTTTTTTTAATCGGTATCAAAGTCTTCGTCAATCACCGACGGATATCGATTGCCATCCATTGACGGCAATCTAATGTGCAGGAAGGCAGCTTCCATACCTGCGACCAACGGCTTTACTTTCCTTCCGACCAGAGATTTTTATGCCTAAGAAAAATCCCAGCGACCTCGGCTGGGATTAAATCCATACCCATTGCGGTATCTAAATAAGCATATGATTTGTTCACTGATTGAAACTAAAAATGGGTGTTCTTTCGAATTACTTAGCTTAAAACGAAAATATGTCATACATTACTATACGCAAGATATGGTTCGCGATGACAGTTTGTATTTGACTCTTTCTGACGTTTAGATTTTTCGAATCTGGATCACCCTCTCAGTTCAACTCTATTTTGTAATCTAAAGTGGCAATTTCAATAAAAAACGTTGAGAAAATGTTGCCTGCTTGTATTAGTTTGCGCGGGTGAGTTTCGATAAATTGACGTTGGATCTCATTGTTTACAAAACCAGGTACGACTTTTTGATCAACTTGTCAGTTTAGAGCTTATTGCAGTAAGGCAGATTGCTGTATCTCAAAATGAAATGTGTAGTTCATGGAAAGAATTGTCTGGTTAATCCCTATAACGAACGTGACTCAATCAAATATGGTTAGGGAATATTGGTAGTCCCGTTACTTAAGCTTAATAAGTAATAACAAGAAATGTTTCCTTTTGTAGAAATTGCATTTATTTGATCGCAATGAGTATCGATCACGACAGCTTACGGTAGCATAATTTACACTCTGTTCAATTCACACAGTCAAGGAATGAAATGCTTTGGGTAGCATCTCAACTCACTAAGATTCTTCATATTTACAATTATATGTATATCTTTTGTACACGCATTCAGTTGAGCACGGAATAACTAGAAAACTCACATTTGTAGCTTTGAGGGAAAATAAATAGATGGACAGTGCGACATAGATAACAAAGAAATAGTTTAGAATAGATAAATAGTTGTTTAAACTAATGACTTCAAGGGGGAAGTGCTTGAGAAGGGTTGAAGTGAAGAGGTGTTTAGGCTGGGCTTTTCAGTTTAACCAATAAGGGCCTTTCCGTAGGCTGGATATCCGACATGGGCAGCTGGATAACCGGCGACATGGGCAGCTGGGTATGCCAGAGGGGCGGCATACTTGGCAACTGGGGCAATAGCCTTGACGGCAAGTGGCTGGCGGTGGACAACGGCGTTGAATCCATTGACTGGATCAGCAGTGTATTCAACAACACGACGGGTGCCATCGGGTTCAACCAGAGAGTAGGATCCAGTGACGACATCTCCGGAGCGAGATTCCTGCTGTTCCTTATTGTCTCCAGTCACAGCATCCTGAAATATGAACAGTCGATAAGTTCTGATATTTTCTACTATTACTGTAAATTTATCTTTACGGCAATGTGGTAGCTGTAGCTGTACTGTGGGTTTGGATCATAATCATCAACAGCCTTGGCGAGTACTGGAGCGGCAACCTTGGCAATAGCTGGGTAGGCATATGGAGAGGCCACCTTGGCAACGCCAACGGCTGGGTAGGCGGCCGGGTAGGCACCTGGGTAGGCACCTGGGTATCCAATGGCGACGGCGTTAGCGACGGCCACGATGGCAGCGAAGACTGCGAACTGAAATAATTGATGTTTTAATAATTGTTCTTGGTCCACTTAATCCTACACTTTTCCAATCACATATTACAACACTCACTTTGAATGCCATTTTTGAATTCCGTGTGTGGTGTTTGTCACAACGCTGTACTGATTGTGATGCTTATTCAGTCGATCTCTGGTCTTTTTATAGTGAAAATGATTTTTAAGTGTCGAGATTGATAGTGAACGATCAGGTCTCGCAGAGTTTAGCAGAATTTTCCGATCGCAGTCGATGCAAGAGCGAGAAATAAAATATATAATTTTTTTCAAATTGCATACACACGCACCCGGAGCGCAAGCTGCTGAAATTTAGCGAAAGTCTCAGAACTGCGTGAGCTTTGAGAGCATGCCCAATTCATTCAGTGCGTCTGAGCGGTTGTACAGTGTCAAAGGCTTCGATATATGTATAACCTGTTTACTTCGCTTTTTAGAACTATGTACTGCATGTTCCACTTTAAATTTTCAAAATCGAAATGGTATTTGTTTTGAAACACTTTCGGCTGCATGGTTTATTTGATTGATTGTTTTTTTATTATCAAGACTTATAGCATTGGCCTAGTTAGTCTTTCGAACTTTAGTATTTTTATTTGGCGTTAAGAGCTTTCTAAAAATGTTTACTTTAGTATTTCAATGTTTCCAGTTTCTTTGATAGGTATAGCATACATAAATTAAATTTTTACAGTTTTGTGATTTTTGTAGAGCTTTCCAATTGCTGATACTGTTTGCTTCTAATCATGAATTTTCAGAATCATTGAAGTCACACATTAAAAAAATATCTTGTTAAGCTTTCATGGGAGGATAAAATGTCACATTATGAAGTTATGATGTTTTTAGGACTGGGCTTAGGAGGGTACTTTGGAATCATTGGGTGTCAATAATGTTCGATCGCAGCATCTGAAAAAAAAAGTTTTATTTTATTATTTGTTCTTGTCTCAACTGACAGCTATTATTGAAGAGTGTATAACGATTTATAATAGTAAAATTGTGCTTAAAAACAGAGAAGCTCTTTTACTAATTACACAAAACAACAATTGAAAAAAGGAAAATCAAGTTTATTCCATTGAAGTGACTCTTCGTATAACAGTGGTACGTGGTTTAACAGTTTTATGCTAAATTGGTAGACAGCCACTGGCCAGGCAAGAGTCTCTTTGATTTGGATGACATTTTGCATAGGCTTTCGATAAGAGATTACATGCATTTTCGACAGATAAATAGGCCATTATAATTCAAGCGTTTGAAAGATAAGCATTTTTGGCATAATTTACATAACGTTGCAACTCAATATCCGTTGATTGTATCGAAATGTTGTTTGAGTTTGATTTAAATAATCAGTTCTGGGAATTCATATGCTGACAGAAATAGTTGAAAATTGCTATGACTATTCAAGATATACCACAAAGATATATCGGTTTGTAGCACTCTAAATCAATAGGAATTCACTTGTAGAGATCATTGCAGTAACCAAATAAATCATAACTTACTATGATCTTATATCAACATTGAAGAATTTAATCTTATATCAAAGATGAATTTAGTTCAAAGTGAAAAATGCTAGACACTCATTTTTAATTAATTAAGGTGTCTTCTTTATTTTTCTGTAATTAAATTGAAAACAGTCAACAACAGAAAAACAACAGGGTTCGTAGAAGTATGGCTTGTTGTAAATTTTTGAAATAATGAAAAGGGAGAATTAATTTTTTTCCGGATTTTACTTTTTTCGTTTTCATTTTTTTTATCGCGCTTTGGTAGAGTTTTGGCTGCTAAGTCGTAATTTTAATTAGGTTTTCCCGTGTGCATTTCAGTCAAATTTCAAAATTTGCTTGATAAAGGATAACATTGATAGAATCCACAAATGGCCGATATCATGACAGATTTTACAAGGCACATCAGGCTTAGCAACGATTATTTGCGGGTTCTAATAACCTCGTTCTTATTTGCTTTACCAACGGCGTTTTCAGTTGCACCTGGTTTTTCATGCTGTGTGAAGTAATTTTTCTTAGCACGAAGACAATTTTCTCCTGTAGGTGGAATCAGATTCATCCAGGGATTTTGTTTAGATCGTGCGTCAGATGATGTTTGGTGAAGGCGACGACGATGTAAGAGTACATAAAATTTCCGTGAGAAATCAAGTGAATATTGATCTTTAGAATACTTTCCTTTATAACATTGATTTTCAGGAAATTCCCTTTTGATTTGATGTTTTGTAACGAATGAAAAACAAAGTATAAATAACGCATGGAAAAAAATAATGCTAAGATTGGACAGCCCTAGGGATAAGACGGCCGTATGGAATATCACATGATCCTGGCCATATAGAAGGTTACTGCCTTCTGCAAAATTTTACAGTTTGTCAAGACCGATTGGTTACAGAATAGTCGTTCAAAATTGTCTCACTATCTGGGGGGCTAATGTACAAGTTATTTTCCTGTATAAAATATATCTTGAGATCAAGACTACATAGGAAGTTTCCGTCTTCAGGATATTTGTTCAGCTGACCAAGGTCTTCTAAAATTTCAACCACGTTTCCTTTTCCTGATGCGGTATAAAACTCCTATCCCGGAAGCTGCTTGAAATCCGCCTTCACATAAGTTTCATCGTCCATGACGACACAGTCGAACTTTGTGAGCAGATTCGTATACAGCTTTCGGGACCGCTGCTTTGCCGACGTGTTTTGTTTGTAATCTCAGTTCGCCACCTTCACCTTCTTAAACGTCGACAACCCGGCTCGTTTCTTGGCCCGCTGCACAGTAGTTTGGGAGACATTGAGCTTGCCAGCGACGTCCCGGATGGAGAGGTTAGGATTCCGCTTATATTTCACCGCCACCTTCTTCGTCGTCGCTGCCACGTCCGGATTATGATTGCCGTCGCTTCCAGGCTTCCTGGCGGTCGACAGACGCTCCCTGAACACTTTTAAAACGTCTCACGGTCGATTTGGCCACATCTAACAATTTTGCCAACTTGGCGTGTGAGAACGTCGGATTCTCTTGCTGCGCGAGCAAAATTTTGACACGCTGCTCCTCTTGCTTGGACGTCATTTTGAAAACTAGAGAGCAAACGGTGAAAACTTATCATAGCAACACTCAACTTCCAAATGCAGCATTTCAGGTTCTTTTTTCTGCATTTTTAACAGAAATACACCAATTTGAAGTTGACCAATTTTTGCGCGTTCCAGACTTTAATAAGCAAAAACTATGGTAGGAAAACAAAAAAAGAAAAAAATACTAAATTAATCAATATTTTGATATCATGATATCAAATTTAGTAATCTGCATGTTTTGAAATCTATTAGTTGATATCAAGATTCAAAATTAAAACTTCAAACGTAACTTTGGAGCAGTGTTGGAAAAATCATTTTCAAAAAAAGTTCTATCACAGCTCATTGCAGAGATAAATCCCAAAGGAACTTCTCACAAAAAGTTCGCGAACGAGAGATGATAAAAAGTTCATGAAAGCGTAGAGCGAGAGAAATTTTCATTTCGTATCGCGAAAGATCTTTCGTCTCTCCATCTCACATCATTTCATACGTACTCGTGATTCGAACCAACCAAATATCCCCTCAGCTTTGTTTCTTTTTTTCCAGCGAGTAAAGGTAGGCGATGATCACGCGAGAGTGTCTGTTTGTTTTCTTCTCGTTCTCCGATATTTTTCGCATCCTTCACATTAAATACCATTTCCAGAGAACTTTGAGATTTGGGCGTAATTGCTTTTGTAAACAAACACGTCATTCAGCGATTTCTCACGAATCAAAGCACAATCTAGCGAACTATACTATACCAAATGAATCATTCATCTACCTGTCTGTGTTGTTAGTTTTTTTAGATTGAACTTTAATTCACGAGAAATCGGCGAATTAAGTGTGTGTTTACAAAAGAAATTACGCCCTAATCTCAAAGTTTTCCGGATTTATTTATAGTTTTAGTTCTCAATGCAACCAGCTAATAATAGATACTTGTAACCAGTGCTGTAAATTTTCATATCATTCGATTGAAGATGAACCACTGCAACCATTCACAGAATTGTGTAAACGAATTCTCACATGACCATAATTTGAAGAGCCCCTTTCTCATTCGAAGCTCATTGTCACTGTCAATTGATTCACTCAGTATCATTGGTATTGGCTCAGTAGTGGAGTATGGAAGAAATCCAGGAAAATGGTCCCGAACAGACAAGTCGACCCGATGTCGGATCAATGTAAGGCTAATTTAAGGTCGATGTCGACCCAATGTCGTGTTAATGTCGGGTCAATTTTGGGTTTATGTCGGGTCAATGTCGGGTCAATGTCGGGTCAACATCGGGTTGGGGTTTGATAGAAGTCAGGTTGGTGTCGGGTTGGCTTAGCTTTTTCGCCGGAATGTCGACCAGAGCTCCGTTTGTGTGTAGGTTACACTCAATCGAATGATATATAGCGTTTCTCAAATGAGAATGATCCATGCCTTCGTCAAATGACTAAGCAACTGATATCACCCATTCGGAGGAGGTCCCCTTTGATAGCGAATAGCTACTTTTCTAATTTTCATCAAAAATGTTCAAATGATTTTGAGAATTTACAGCACTGGTAATAGCACAGTGAAAAAGTTCACCACCACCTATATTCCCAACCATCCCCCTGCATATAATTATTGCATAAGAGCTTACAGGAACGATATTACGAACACTAGTGATGAGAGGTGCCATGCATTAACTGTATTTCGTGAAAATGAGGATACATTAGGCGCTCCTCCTTCCGCAACCCCCTATCCTGAGGAACGGTTTTAATATAAAAATTGCTAGTCACAAAATCTTACACTACCCTCCCCGTTCCTCGTTAATGTCGCGTTGACACTTGTGCTGATTCATTCATTTTTTTTTGCCAGAAACCAATGCACCAATCAATCAGTTGCACAAAACTGTTCACATCATCCTGATAACGGCTACTTTAAACAACAGGCGCCAGTAGACAGCCAGGTACCAGACTTATCAGTCTTTAGATATTGTATTGATTTACTCGGGATAGCTTTCTGTCTATAATCTTTCCCTTGTGAAATGTGCAGTGCAATTTTCAAGAACGAATGTGGTGTAAAGAGATAGAGAGAAAAAATGATCTGATATTTTTCGTATCCTCACGTTGGTGATTCGAGTTAAAAAAGTTCGCGATATCTCATTCTCTCATCCCAGAAAGTTCGCTCAGGAAATATTGTAGTGTGAAACTAGTGAGGGAAAGTTCCCAAGAGAAAACGTATCGCAAGCGAAAATGATATTTTGGTGAGAATTCCATCACTGCTTTGGAGCACTATGGAATTCTTTCATTATTTCCTTACGAAATAATCATCCAGTGGTACCACATCAACTCCTAAGAGCTACCAATTTAATTCGTTCAAACAAATCTGAAGGCTGCTCAACTGGAGTTGCTCTTCTAGACATAGAAAAAGCATTCGACAGTTTTCGGCTTGAAGGTTTGATTGCTACATTGAAAAAGTAACTGACAAAACTTTGCAGGTAAATTATCAAAATTCCAAATTTGGACGACTACTTGTTAGATCAGGAGTTCTTCAGGATAGCATTCTTGGGCCTATATTGCATAACATTTTCACTTCCGACCTCCCTGCTTTGCCTCAGGGTTGCCACAAATCTTTGTTCGCCGATTACACAGGCATTTCCGCTGAAGGAAGAAGTCTTCGTGTTAATTGCAGCAGACTGCAGAAAAGTTTAGATATTTTCTCTTCTTATTTACAAAAATGGAAGATTTCTCCCAACGCTTCCAAAACTCAACTTATAATATTTCCACATAAGCCTAGAGCTTTCTTTTTGAAACCTAGTAGTAGTCACATAGTCACTATGAATGGAGTTCCAATTTCTCGGTCAAACCTAGTGAAGTATCTTGGATCAATACTTGACCAAAAATTAACTTTTAAAGATCACATTGAGGGCAATTAAGCCAAATGTAATAGATATATAAAATCTTTGTATCCTCTTATACGCAGAAAATCCAAACTTTGCCTGTAGAATAAATTTCTAATATTTAAACAAGTTTTTAGACCGGCCATGCTTTACGCTGTGCCAATATGGTCTAGTTGTTGCACTACTCGAAAAAAAAGCACTTCAAAGGATTTTAAAGTTGCCTCCCAGGTACAGGACTTTAGAACAAATGTCCATCAAAATAATCAATAATTTCAGGCAAAAACCGATGCAATCATTAATTGCAACGATTAATTCTCTTTATACTTAAATAATTTAGTGTTAGTTTTTAGTTATAAAATGTAAATTGTTATACTGACATGCAGGTTTAAAAAAAACCTGTTTAAAATATAGAATTGCCAAGGCAGGAACAATGTAACCACACTTAGATATATATCATAGCAATTAAGGTTGGTAAAATAATGTAGTAGCTGGAGTACCTAAGTTAAAATTAAATGTAATTTAAATAAATTGCATTGGTTTTGGAACAAAAAAAGAATTAAAAAAAAGTCATAGAAATAGACGATGGAAATTTTTTAAGTTTAGAATTTTCATGACAAATTCCAGTGGAATTATATTATGAATAATCAATTCCTTTGCATCTAACATATTTTAACAGACATGGATGACGAAAATTTATTATGTTGGGAGAGAACTGATAAGTTAATGAAATTTATATGTTGTCATTTAAATATGAGCTAAGAAATCGACTAAACGTACGAAAGTTAAATAAACATATTCGGCAATGTTTAAGTATAAGTATTAAAGACGAACAGGATGAAATACATTTTGTATCGATTTGTAAATTAAGTTCACAGGTAGATTAATATCAATAAATTTTGTAAAATATAACTGTAAAAATCATAATTGTCATAAAAAAACAGCAAGCATCCTGATTGACTCGTAAGAAAAAAAAAAAAGTATACTTTAGTGATTAATGTGGCTGCTTTTTTTTATAACACGTAAAATTTTGTTTTAATTATATTTTTTAGAAAATATGAAATATGAATTCAACCAAAATTAAAAAAATAGCATAATACATGTTATCAACATGATTGCAAAAACATATTTGATATCATTTTGATAGTATCTGATATCCGACTTTGCTCGGGTTGTGTTTACTAGCAATATTACTTTTACATGATACATTATATAACAGCTCTAAAACATCAAATTCCGTGGTGCCGACCGCCGCCATACACAATAGTGGTGCACCAAATAGTGCCAATTGGCCATGTATTCGGCGTTTACGCAAAAATGTTATCTGATATTCGGCCTTTTCTCAGCTGACAAGTGGTTGACAAGTGGAATTTCAAAAGTACAAAGCTTGATATTCGGTTGAATACTATGGCAGCTTAATATTCGGTGCATCACTAATACAAAATGTTTGTTTTTGTTCTCCATTATGTCGTTTCATATTTCATCAAGCTAAACTGTGTTTTACAGCATCAACTATACAAAGAACTCTGCGTTATTTTTTTTTTTCAAGCGTTGAATGTTTCAATAATCCAAAGGATGGTCATCTTACCCCGGGTGGCCGACTTCCCCCGTCTTCCCCTATGCTATGGAGTAGCGCACCGTATTCTCGTTTTAGTTTAAACCGTATTTGCGGTACAAACAAACTTGGATGATAACTTGGTATGATCGATACGTTTTCACATGCATAAGATTCATCATCATTTCAAAATCGCGATTGGTCAACTACCCGGCAATGTGTTACAGTGTTTTGTATTATTTAAAATGCCAGTACCTTGCAACCGACAAAATGCAAAAAGGAAACTGTGTTTTTGGAAATTATTGAAAATATGGTAAGTCGTTCCATTATACACTGGAGTCGCTTTTTACGCAGTTTTTTTTACGCGGATTTCGGAATTTACACGGTTTTTTTTACGCGGATTTCGTCGCTTTTTACGCGGTTTTTTACACGGTTTTTTTACGCGGTTTTTTTTACGCGGATTTCGGAATTTACGCGGTTTTTTTTTTACGCGGTAAAGCGACTCCAGTGTACTATATTTAATATTTTATATTCAATTATCATATTCCCATAACCCGCAGCGTTATGTGTTAGCCATTTTGCAGGGCTCCTATAAAATAGCCTTTAATTACGTGGGATTTCGGGTCCATTTTTACCATTAGATTTTAAATACTTGACTTGATTTTGAAAAACTATAAAACAATGTCAACAATTTATTGTTTTTGTACGTAGAGATTGCACGGTGGCCAGCGAACCTGAAAAACCTGGAATTTGAAAAGTAACAGAGAAAACCTGGAAAATTCTGGGAATTTGATGGAAATACTAGGAAAAAGCAATAATCCTTAACATACAGTCACCTTAATTAAATTTAATCTTTTATTTTTTATAGGTGTGCAGGTGATAAATAATTTGGTTTTTTTCTATACAAATTTATTATAAAGTTTACGAAATCTGAGCTTAAATTTTTTCATGATTTCTGAGCCAAGTCAATTTCAACTTTATCAACTTATGTGTTCTTTTCTAATTGGTTTAATTAGCCAACTCCAGATCAAAAATTTAAAATTGTTTAAGAATTGTTTGATCTGATGTTAGATTAATTTTCGGTGACTCAAATGCCATGGTCAATGCAGGGAGACAATAATTCCTATACATACATTGTTCTTGTATCATGAAAGCCGCTTATAACACTTTACAACTCTCTAGTCTAATCAAGGAATAAATTTAATCCAATTTTCATATATTATTTGTATTTGTATATTATTTAACATTTCGATGAAAAATCAGCTCTTTTGACATGACATGCCATAAAAATATTAATACACTAATGACCCGATTTTGGCAGTCCACTTTTTGAAATATATTTTATGTTCTACGAAACCCATTCACCTTTTCTGTGGTCATCTATCTTGAAAATGATTGAGAATGATTTGGAATTAGGTTCATGTAAAATTATTGAAAAATAAAATGAATGGAATTCTTTTCTTGAAAGTTTCATAAGAATATGTTTTGTTTTCTGCAATTTTTTTTATCAGTTATCCTCATAATATGAAACTTTTTACATTTTTCTCAGAATTAGCTTGAAGATCTGTTCTGAACTGTCTTTAGAATTCCTTTGAAAATTATCATGCAGGACACTCTTTAAATTCTATTAAAATCATTATTCTCATCAGAATTCTCATCAGTTTTCCCATTAGAATTCTCTTGGAATTCTCCTATTACAATTCTCCTCAGGAACACCATTTTCTTTGGTGAGGTTTTAAGCGATACTGATTTTTTTTATATTAATATTATTCTGGCAGGGACACCTTTTCTAAAAATAACGGCTAAGGGAAAATCCATAAATGAATGAATGAATCTGACTTCTATTTATGTTCAGTTCACTCAAATCCGCAAAAAAGGAGTTCACTCATAGGCTGACTATATTTTTTTTTCGATTTTACAGGAAAAATATTTCACACAAAATGTAAGGAAAATCGTCACTCAGTCATATTCGAGCTTAAGAAAAAGCGTGGAAAATTTTACTCAGTCTACGAGTGATCTAAGTTTTACGATTTTGAATGAAAAACCACTCAATTTAGAGTCGATCTCATAGGCCGTGCATAATTCTCCAAAGAAACACCCACCCTCTGACTAAATATTCCGTCATTTAAGTTCACTAAGTAATAACAAGAGATGTGTTCTTTTGTAGAAGTTGCATTTATTTGACCGCAATGAGTATCCATCACGGTTGCTTACGGTAGCATAATTTACACTCTGTTCAATTCACACAGTCAATGGTTGAGATACTTTGTGTAGCATCTCAACTCACTAAGATTCTTCACATTTACAATTATATGTATATCTTTTGTACACGCATTCAGTTGAGCTTGGAATAACTAGAAAACTCACATTTGTAGCTTTATGGGAAAAGAAGTAGAGGAGTGAGACATAGATAACAAAGAAATAGTTTAGAATAAATAAATAGTTGTTTAAACTAATGACTTCAAAGGGGAAGTGCTTTAGAAGGGTTGAAGTGAAGAGGTGTTTAGGCTGTGCTTCGAAGTTTAACCAATAAGGGCCTTTCCGTAGGCTGGATATCCGACATGGGCAGCTGGGTAACCGGCGACATGGGCAGCTGGGTATGCCAGAGGGGCGGCGAACTTGGCAACTGGGGCGACAGCCTTGACGCCAAGTGGTTCACGGTGGACAACGGCGTTGAATCCATTGACTGGATCAGCAGTGTATTCAACAACACGACGGGTACCATCGGGTTCAACCAGAGAGTAGGATCCAGTGACGACATCTCCGGAGCGAGATTCCTGCTGTTCCTTGTTGTCTCCGGTCAGAGCATCCTGGAATACGGAAAGTTGATAAGTTCTGATGTTTTCTACTATAATTGTGAATTCATTCGTACGGCAATGTGGTAGCTGTAGCTGTACTGTGGGTTTGGATCATAATCATCAACAGCCTTGGCGAGTACTGGAGAGGCAACCTTGGCAATAGCTGGGTAGGCATATGGAGAGGCCACCTTGGCAACGCCAACGGCTGGGTAGGCGGCCGGGTAGGCACCTGGGTAGGCACCTGGGTATCCAATGGCGACGGCGTTAGCGACGGCCACGATGGCAGCGAAGACTGCGAACTGAAATAATTGTTGTTTTAATAATTGTTCTCGGTGCACTTACTCCTACACTTCTCCGATCACATATTGCAACACTAACTTTGAATGCCATTTTTGTATTCCTTGTGTGGTGTTTGTCACAAAGCTGTACTGATTATGATGCTAATTCAGACGAGCGCTGCCCTTTTTATACTGAAGTATTCTTAAGTGTCGAGATCCACAGGTCTCGCCCAGTTTAGCAGAATTTTCCGATCACAGTCGATGCATGAGCGAGAAATAAAATGTATCATTCTTTTCAAATTGCATACATACGCATCAGAGAGCACTGTAGCTGCTGAAATTTAGCGAAAGTATCAGAATTGCGGTGAACTTTGAGAGCGTACCCAAGTCAAGCCTTGCAAGATTTTAATACATAGGCCTATTTCTGACTGGGCGCTGGCTCCAGTGCCCAAAGCTTCAACAACCAAACTAACCAGCGACGGACTTGTACATAGACGCTTGATTAGAAATATATGATCGAGCGCGTACCTACTGCTTATACTGAAAATTGTTCTCGTCCTGCATGAAGTGCATCGAAGGAATATGGTGTAGCATATACGTATATATATGTATACGTACCTACTCTTGTAAATCAAATTACACCTCTGTATTGGTTGATCGTGTTCACACCGTTCAGCAAACTGATACTCGTGTACTTTTGACATTCAATCAAAATAAACGCCCATTCACTTGGTTAGAACTTGTAAAATACTAGCCTCTTTACTAAGGGGCAGTTATCATGATAAACTACAGCATAAATTGTTAAGAACGTTTGCCGACGAACTTACGACTAGGGTATTGCCGCTGTGTGCTCAGATAGGTGCGAGTTGAAAATGCCTATTTGAATTGCCAATGTTTTTTTTAGTTCGAAGGGTTGGTCAGTTTTGTTCGTTCTAAATGCAAAGGTCATCACTGGGGCTGTTTGTGAGTTAAAACATGTCGCATTTGTGTGATTCTTAAAAGCTGTTTAGGTTGTTGTGTTAATGTTCAATAAGAAACATCATAAGTAGTCAGCATCGATTTGTTTACTTATGAAATATGAAGATATGCATTATTCAATTCAGTTGTTTAGAATATGTCGTTCTAAGCCTGTAACACACCTAATATCGATGCATTTCTTTTATATAATAGTGAAACAATACTAGTCTAATACCATCGTCTGGGGTGTCTAGACACTGTTTAAGGAATGTATAACCTTCCGATGCTCTTTTTTACATAATAAGCGTTATAGTCAGCATCATTGCTTTGTCTATATGCTTGAGAACAACCCAATTGTTGTGCTATGTAGGAAATTATTTTAATTTGGCGCATGGATCTATAGTTTGATCCCATCAATAAAAATTATCTATATTTAATTTTTTGCCAGGTAAATGCTTCGATCGGCCATAATTTTTTTTTAAATCTTAACATTTCTCAATTTTTATATGACTTTTGACAAACTTTTAATAGCTACTTGTTTTCTTTTTATTTTGCTTGCATTGTTAATCGATCCTTTTCAAGTACCGTAATTGCAATGTTTGTTAAAATATATGTGTGTTTTCAATCCAACTCTAATCTAACGCTGCCCGGTAGTAATATCACGCTGCTTGCAACAATTATGGATTACTGCGTAGCTACTTTTTTTTTTAAACTTTATTAAAATGATTTTCAGCCTGATGCTAGTTCAACAGTCTGCGTAGCTACTCAGAGTTACTGTCCTGTCCGTGTGTTTTTTTTTGTCAGAAGAGCACAACGCATGCATATGTGATACATACCGAGAGGTACAACTGGATGCTGCCGGTCTGAGAGTAATCTGATTTTGGCGTTGTAAGGGTACTTTTGCGTTAAAAATCCACTTTGGTTTTTTGTCATTTTATGCTGATGTTTGGATTTTAGTTTTTGTTTTATGGCGTTTTAACGTCAGTTCATCGTGCAATACCTATTATGCAATACTATTATAAATCGCGAATTAAAGTTAGCACTACCATTTTGGCTTTTCTGACATTTCTATGGCAAATACATATGGACGTGTTTAAGGCATTTTAACAATCGTATCGCGCGTATTTTAATCCATATCGGAATTTTCAGAGCAGTTTTAACCTTTTCAAGGCGATTATGATGTTTTGAAGGGCGTTTGGTTGCAAGGCGATTTTGTCGTCTTTAGGCAATTTTCTGCGTGTTTAACGTCGTTTTGGGGTTCATGGTTTATGGTTTTTAGTAAAATTGTAAATCAATATACGCCAATTAACCGTTTTTTTTAAGGTATGTCGATTAAGACGATTCACATAGGGTATTGGCGTTTTAAATCCATTTTATTTATATTATTGCGATTTTTGTTTTGCTTTGAAAAGGATTGTGGATTTTTATGTCATTGTAATTTTGTTATTTAAGCATTTTATGGCTATTTTGATCTATAGATTTGCTCTGTATTTTGCGACCATTTGGAATTTTTTTCAGCCATTTGTTTATTTTTGGAGCGTTTCCAGCAGTTTTGAAGCCATGATAGCATTTTTCAGGCTATTATGAAATTTTTAACGTCTCTAAGTGATTTGTGTGGCAATTGTTGTGGTTAAAATTCAGTTTTGTATTATTTTAAAATCATTTATGTGTTGCAGGTCATTTTGACTTTTTTTTACTTGAATGTTTAAAGGCTTTTTTATTACCATTCTGGTGCATATGAATGAATAATTGAGTCTGCCAAGCCAACTACACAGATGATTTGTAGAATCGGGAAAATTTTGAAATATTGACCAGGAAAATCATTTAAATACTGACATTTTGAATTCGATGTTAATGTTTCAATTTTTTCCCTTGTCTGTGATTTCGCAAATCTGATAGACTTATCACATATTTTCTGAGGTTTTGAAAAAAAAAACTTACTTAGTTAAGGGTCCTGTGCACCACCAGCGGTGCAAAGGGCCAACGTGAAAGACTTCCATCCTGGGCGGCTGCTCGCTTTTGCCTTGACCTGGGCCCAGGTCAGATTCCTATCGACTTGCTTAATTTCCTTATTGAGGCTCCGCCGGCCGCCATGACCCCTGGGTCTGCCTCTGCTGCGATGTCCTGCCGGATTCCAATCCAGCGCTTGCTTGCAAATTTCGTTTCCGCCCCGTCGAAGTCGGAGAGTCGCGTCGATCTTCTCCTGTATCCGATTCAGGATAACTTTGCACAGAACTTTGAGAACAATACACAGTAACATGATGCCTTGCCAATTGTCGCACACAGTCAGATCCCCCTTCTTTTTGACCTTCACTAAGAGGCCCTGCATCCAGTCGGCCGGAAAAGTCGCGGTGTCCCAGATATTACAGAATAGTAGATGCAACATTTGTGCGGATAGCATGGGGTCAGCTTTGAGCATCTCTGCTGATATGCGATCGACTCCTGGAGCCTTGTTGGATTTCATGCTTCGGATACCTGCTTCAATCTCCTGCAGTGATGGGGCCTCGGAATTGACGCGAGTGATGCGCCGCACCCTAGGTGGATCATGCCGAGATGTTGATGGCTGGTTGGCCGTCGAAACTTGAAGAAGTTGTTCGAAGTGCTCAAATCAGCGTTTCAGCTGGTCAGTGGGGTCGGTAAGCAATTGTCCAGTCGTGTCCTTCACTGGCATCCTCGGGTTCATCCTTGCTCCACTCAGGCGTCGTGAGATATCGTAGAGGAGGCGTATATCGCCAGTGTTTGCGGCTTTCTCCCCTTCGTCGGCCAGGGAGTTCACCCACGCTCGCTTGTCCCGTCTGCACGAGCGCTTGACTTCCTTCTCTAGAGCCGAGTACCATTGACGGGCTTCGTTCTTGGCTCCTCTGGTTCTCGCCCGCTCTATCGCGGCTTTTGCTTCTCTACGCTCCTCAATCTTCCGCCAGGTTTCATCTGTGATCCACTTTTTCCTATGGGTTGCGCAGCTCACCCAAGTTGTTCTCGCTTGTTTCTATAAAGGCATTCTTGATGGCCGTCCATTGTTCTTCTACGCTGCCACCTTCTGGAACGTCCGCAGCTCGAGTCTCAAGTTCTTCAACAAAAGACCTGTTTACCGCTGGATCTTCAATTCGGCGTGTGTTGAACCGCCGCCCGAGTCTCTCCTCCCGTCGCTGGATCCGCGCCATGCGTAGGCGGATTTCGCCGATTAGAAGGTGATGGTCAGACGCGATGCCGGCGCTGCGTTTATTCCGGACATCAAGAAGGCTCCGTCTCCATTTTCGGTTGATGCAGATGTGGTCGATCTGATTTTCGGTATGTCCATCACGGGAAACCCACGTGACTTTATGCACTGGCCGATGGGAGAAGAGCGAGCCCCCGATCACCATGTCGTTATTGCCACAAAATTCTGCAAACAGCTCACCGTTTCGCTCATTTCGCCGAGACCATGGCGTCCCATGACACGCTCATAGTCCGTGTTGTCGGATGCGATCTTCGCATTGAAGTCGCCAGTGTAGATCTTGATGTCACCCTTTGGAACCTTATCCACGACGGCATTCAGTTGACTGTAAAAATTCTCCTTGTCCTGTAGCTCAGCAGCATCGGTTGGCGCATAACATTGGATTATGGTAAGGCTACGAACCCGTGTTCTAAATCTGGCAACGATTATCCTCCCACTTGATGAGCGCAGCACTTGCCTGGACGCTAAGTAGGAGACCAACTCCACGATGGCGGGGAGCGTTTTCACCTCGAATACCAGAGTATAGTAGTACCTGTCCCGACGGCAGTTTGTGTTCTCCAAAGTTTGGCCAACGAACTTCACTCAGTCCCAGGATTTCTAGCTTCATGCGTCGTTGGCGAGTTGTGTCAGTTTACCCTGCTGGGCTAACGTCAATACATTCCATGATCCAATTCGTGTCCGTTGTTTTGTGCTAAAAGTCGTTGCCGTTAAATCAGTTCGATGTCTTTCTCTATTGGTTTCTGTAACAATTGTAAAGGTTTCAGAGACAGTAGGTGGTTGGCCTAAGGTCTCCTATCCGCCGTGATGGGGCTGCCATCTTAGGTGTAGCTTCCGGGGAAGAGCATTTCTTATTCAGCCGCTGGATGCCAGTCAGACGCTATTTGAGCCGCACCTCCATGGTGAACAGACGCTCGGGTTGGCGATGCATTTCCTCTATCACCGTGCTATGGTTACCGCGCCAGTGTTCGCGTCG